ACGTAGGCTAATGCTTATTTTCTATGCCCATAGCTAGGCACGGCTCTGTTACTGACGCCACCTCCATTTATTCCAGTGAATTATATAGTGCCCCTCCTCCTCCACCAACGCCTATAAACGGTCCTTGGCTGCCACATCCGCCAATGAAGAAGGTAGGGGTTTTGTCATCCCTAGTTAGTGGAGGTTAAATCTTACTTTTATTATGTTTTATCAATCTTACTTTTATTATGATCCTTTGTTTCCTATCAAAACCCATTCGATAAAATTGGAAAAAAAAGGTTTTGGGTTTTGTATATGAAAACCTTCACGTTTCATCTTCTTACACTCTGTTTCAGCAGAGGTTTTATCTCGTCCTAATGCAGTCTTCAAATAGCTCGTAGAATTATGCTTAGTTTTCAGAAGAGGACACAACCGTTATCAATAAAGATTTCTGACAGAATGACATCCAAACAAATCTTGATTCCAAATGCATATATTCAACCGGTTAAAACTGTGACATCCCAAACATTTGTTTTAGCCCAATTTTTTTTATTCTTTTTAAAACCTAAACTCTAACCCAATTTCTTTTTTAACACCTAATTAAGCCCAAATCCATATTCTAATTTGTCTCGAAACCAAAATCTCTAAACCAAACTCTAGTAAAACAAAAAAAAATGGAGGAAAAGGGAGCAGCCGTAAAAGAGAGAAGAAGAGAAAAGAAGGAAAGAAAGAGGAGAAGAAAAAGAGAAAAGAAAAGGGAGAGAGAAGCTCACCGTTCACCACCACCTCCACCACCAAAAGCTTCACGTCTCTAGAGAAGGATCCACTGCCACCAGAGCTTCTAATCTACCACCGCCGCAGCTGTTGGTTGCACAGAGAGGAGGAGAGGCCTGGAGAAGAAGAAAGTTGAAGGAGAAGGCACAGATCCGAGGTGGGGTTTTATGAGAAAGATTCCCGTTGATACAGAGAGATTTAAACCATGATCGAGGTATCTCTGGAAAGATCTCAATGCAACAAAGCCATAATGAAAACGACATCGATATCGGTGTTAAGGTCAGCCCACAACGAAGTTTTCTTCCTGCGCAAGAATCATCCGCGCTGCCATCCTGCAACCCAGAAATCTGTTTCGACGTAGCAAAGGACCGTATATGATTCGTTTGAAGTCTGATCGAGCTGAAATTTTGTGGAGTGCTTCATGGTGCATATGTCTCCAGTTTCAATGGTGTGATCGAGCAACGGTTGGTTGTCGAGTTATGAGCGTGTTTCTGAGGCAGCTTTGAAGTGTTCTTAAGATGGGTGTTTTCCAGCTGCAACCGTTTTTGACCGTCATATTCTCCAAGTGCTATTCCAGGTTCTTTTAAATTAAGGTGATTTAATAATGTGTGTATGCTTAGTGTAGGAATTAAACATGATTGATAATTGGTATTTGTTAATGTTGATTGATATTGGTTATTGATTGGCTATTGATGATAATTCATAATAAGAAGGTATTGGAATATGATAATAATATTGTAATTTATTTGGTTGTTAACTGAAATAGTATTTATTTGGTTACAATATTGTTTGACAGCCTATAACGAGAAACTGAGATTGTGAAGTTGTAGTGATCGATAAATTGTTTGACGGTCTACAGCGAGAGACTGAATATTGCGAAGCTGTAGTGATCGAGAAAGGGCTGACAAGCTATTGTCAAACCCTGTTGAGGGCTGTGACACCGGGACTAAATGTCGAGTCCTGTGATTTGGCGGAAGCATTAATCGTCAAACCCATTAATGGACTGTGGCATAGATTGAGTACCAAGCGATTGCGACCCTTAGAAATGTGAATTAGATTCGTTAGGTTGATTGTTTTAAATGATTATATGATTGTATTTATTTAGAATTATTAGAATCATATATATTATATAATAATATGAGTTATTCTAGGTTGATTGTTGCTTGAGTTTGATATCTATATTATGTATATACATCATTGCTATTTCAAATAATATGTCAAAGAATCATGTGTGTTCCAAGAGCACATCTTCACTGAGTATTTTTCCCGGAATATTCATCCCTCTCTTCTTTTTCAGGTAAGATTGAAGACTAGTACTTGTGGCAGTTGATGCAGTGTTATTTCCGGGGACCATAGATGTATTTTATTTATTTATTCTTAATTAAGATTTTAATTATATTTATTTTAGTTTTTTTTTCAAATATTTAACATTCGGTTTATTGTTAAGATGTTTTGAGTTTCTGATTTATTTATTTTTAATAAAGGATTTTAGACAACAAATAATTATTTAATGAGTTCGTTATTCTTTTAAAAGTTATTAGACCATCCACAACCCTGAACCTCATGATGGGGTTCATCAGCATTTTTTAATAATTTTTGGAGGAGAGAGAATGTGGAAGAACCTTAGGTGAACCTGGAGTGAAAAATAGGTGTCCAACCCTGATACTTATTTTGGGGTTCAACAAAATAAAATAATAATTTTTTTTAACTATTTTAAACATTTGAATAAAATAAAATGAAAAGAGTTCTTAAATTGAGAAAACAAAAGTGAAAGTAAAACTAGTAATCTTCTAGATGTCCAAATTTATGCCAAAGGTAGAGGGTATTTTTTTCTAAGCCGTAGCGTGCTCTAGAGTACATTCTCGTGCTTTTTCATCGAAACCCGCCTTGTCTTCTTTGTATAGCTTCGCTTTGGCTTCATCAAAGTCGTCCCCCTCACCTATTTCAGGGTTTGTCAGCATCTCATGAAGATTAATGAACATCTTATGGATGGTGTGAATAGGCGAGAAGTAGTCCGTTGTCAGCATCCTTAGGAAGATATGACCACGATCTCCTACATTGGGATGAAAGATTTTGGTTCTAAAGAAGACCTGCAGAAAATAAATATTCAGCAAGCGATTACTACAAAACCCTGAACCGTTTAAAGCGTCATACCTTTGGTGGCTTGAACGGGTATTCCGGAGGGAAGTCCATGCTGATTTTGAAGACTCCGTTCTCGTAAGGCGATCCTGCTGGTCCGAACAGCTCACCCTCCCAATAAAACATCTTTCCATCTACGGGGCCTGCTTTGTAGAGCGGGCTCTTAACCCTCTCAATCTCTTTTTTCTGCTTCGTTATGGCTCTTGCCCAGTACGGGACATCCTCTGAACTTGGCATACTCTGTCCACAATAAACGATTTGATCATTTGAGTTACATAAATATCCGAACCAAATGAGAAAAAAAAAACTTGAAAACAAACCTAAACTCAAGTAACTACTTAAACCTAATCATTCGATATAACCAGAACACGATTACAATACGATGTCCCTAAAGATTCGATACTCCTAAACACACAATGAACCATTTCAACCTAAACATTCGATATGACCTAAACATTCAATACTTGAAAACACACAATGAACCATTTCAACTCACACAAGCGATTCACACAAGCGATCAACAAATCGATTAACTCACACAAGCGATTAACTCACACAAGCGATTAACTCACACAAGCGAACCAAAATTTATAAAAGCCCCAAGCGAATTAGACGCCAATTGCAATCCCAAATGAAAGCCCCAAAATTTATAAACATTTTCGAGAACCCTAATTTCAAAACATCAAATTTTAAAACCCTAATACGCGAAATCCGGAAACCGATTGAATATAAGAACAATGAATCGCAAACAACTCATAATCAACATCAAAAGCCCCCAAAAAAACTTCCCGAAGAACCCTAATTTTCCTCCAATTTTGAAAACCCTAATATCGATTCAACCAACCGACCAAAACTCAATTAAAAGACTTCTAAAGGATATGAACGACGTACCATACTGATCGACCGGAGGGGAAGCAACGATTCACCGGAGATTCGATCGGAGGGGAAAATTGGATTCGAAGTTGCGATTTTCGCAAAATCGCCGTGGAAGTTTTTTTTTTGTGATAAAAAGAGAATGCGAAATAACCCCAAATGTTCGACCCCGACCCTAAAAATTTTTCTCCAAACTTCAGCCAATCAGTGCTTGCCACGTAGGCCGGTGAACCTCGACGATACGGGCTCGTCGGGCTTATCCCAGAGAGACAGTATCATCGAGTTTTTGGGCCTAATCGATTAAAAAAATTAAAATAATAGTATTGGGCCCCACGAATGAACTCCGCCCATCCCGCGTTGTGAATGGTCTTAGATGAATGTAAATCAAGATAGATTTAGTTTGCAAGATTGTCTCAAAAACCTCTCTGCTTTAAAATCAAACACACCAGCAACTGCTCGCAAATCATTTCATCATCACCAAAAAAGGTATGAGATGGGCTTTTCTGATTATAAGTCATGTCCACCTGAAATAAATTAATTAGACAACTCAATAGTTGTACGTCTTCTAAACTTGTCAGAAACCTCGAACAGTGTAGACAATGTAGTTTCTTTTAAGTTTTCAGGTATTGTTTCTTTGATTTGGAAATTTTTCTAAGGATGTTGAGGATTTCATTTCTGAACATTTATCAGTTGTACTTAGTGTTATGAAACTCCTTGGAATCAAAATTTGCGTTTTGGCACAATGTTTCGTAGGTAAATTTGAACACTGTTGTTCCGCAGATTCTTCAAACAGATTTGTAGTTTAGCAGACAAATTTTAGGTTTATGATTCAAAAACCTGGGATATATTTTCATAGGAATAGAAAAAAAAAACAGAAGATATCAAATGGCTTCGTCCGGACACCTTAGACTGACGTGATAACCACGAAACCATCTTGACTAAGCTTTCTGTATTTCTTAAACATTTTGTCTTCATTTATTACTCACGAGTCACAACTCACATCAGCTCAGTTTGGGCCTAAATAAGGCCCATTTAGAATATTGTGAGGCGGGAACGGAATCCATGTCGCGCTATGATGATCTTTTTGGTAACGATTATGATGTACCGTTGATTTAAAATATTATCAACGGGTAAGATCATCCTACATATCGATCCTCGTCGATGTCTAATAACCAATCATATCGATTACTCGATCTATTATAAAATCAAAATCTCGCCTTCATCGAATTACTCAGATTTGTGCTTTCTTCTTTACCCAGAACCAAAAAAAAAAAAGGTCAAAGAGAGAGATACATAACAATGGCGCCGAGAGCAGAGAAGAAGCCAGCGGAGAAGAAACCAGCCTCTGATAAACCCGTAGAGGAGAAATCAAAGGCCGAGAAAGCTCCGGCGGAGAAGAAACCAAAGGCCGGGAAGAAGCTGCCGAAGGAAGCCGGCGGCGCAGGCGGCAATAAGAAGAAGAAGATGAAGAAGAAGAGCGTCGAGACGTACAAGATCTACATCTTCAAGGTCCTGAAACAGGTTCATCCAGATATCGGAATCTCGAGCAAAGCCATGGGGATTATGAACAGCTTCATCAATGATATCTTCGAGAAACTCGCTCAGGAATCGTCTAAGCTCGCTAGGTACAATAAAAAGCCTACGATCACTTCTCGGGAAATTCAGACTGCTGTTAGGCTTGTGCTTCCTGGTGAGCTCGCGAAACACGCCGTCTCTGAAGGTACCAAGGCCGTGACGAAATTCACCAGCTCTTGAATTAGTAGTGATTAGGGTTTTTAAAAAAAAATCTGATTCGAAGGATGTTTCGAGTTTTGGAAATGGATTTAGGGTTTGTTTTCGATTTTATCAGTTGCTTTTGTTTTCTCAGTTGTAATTAGTGCAGTGAATCTGTTTCGAATCAAGATTTGCGTTTTAAATCGAATTTACTTTCATGAGATCCTGATCGGCATCGAATTTCATTCATGTATTTTTCAATTTTTATGATGTTGGATCTTCAATTCGTTTAATGGATTCTTGTAATTTCCGGAAATCTTGATGAGATAGTTTCTTTTTTGTTCATCATCGTCCTCACTATTAGTTGACTTCTTTGATGCAAATGGTACTGTTCTTGATTGTGTTTCAATGGCGATAGAACGTTGTACAACGTCTAAATCCATTGTAATTCTCTGTGTTGATGTTTGGTCTTGTCTTGTCTCTTGCAATCTCTCCAGCATTTGTTCCTATTGGAGTTGATAGAGTATTTTAGTGGGCGCTAATTTTGTTAATTTCATGTGTTTAGCATTCATTATAAATAATTAAATCATATTATCTTGATTGATTTCTGTTCAATTAGAAAATTGTTTGTAAGATTAAAAATTAAAAGTCAGTCACATTTTGGAGATATTATCATTTATCAAGATGAAAAAATCAATCTGTAATAGAAATCAAGATAACAAACTAATTGGCCTACAAGGTTCGTTCAACGCGTACATTCCCAGCTATACATGTTTAAAAGATAAAAGAATATAAAAAATACAAAAATAAATCGAAATGGCTTCGCCCGAGTTCAAACCGGAGACCTTCAGTGTGTTAGTTTTAGGCTGACGCGATAACCAACTACACCACGATAACATTTTGATAGCGAGTCTTCTGTGTTAGGATCACTAATATAAGCCATCTTTGATACTTTGCTTCTATCAGCGAAATTAGTGGTTTCTCCAAATTTAAAACGAAAACTGAAATTAGAATCCTGTTTAATTTTGGTTAACTGAGCCTACCATTAAAATTATATTTTTAGAGCCAAAAACATATATATATATATATATATAAGAAGCATCCTTCAAAACATAAAAATTTTCATAAAATTTGCTGTGAATCTCAAGAAAGTAATAAACAAAAGAAAGACATCCGTTTATGATTTTATTTATTAATTGTGTGAATATATAATTACAATCTCTAAAGCCTTGTATTTATATACCTTAAAAATCCAACTCCTAAACCCACTTGATAAATCATTTATCGAACCAATTAAAAAACCGTACCGAGGGGGGGGGGGTTTCGTGTAGCATCCTAACCCAGATTTTACTTTTTAACTTATACTTAGTCAAATTTCGATCCAGAATTTTACTTAGCATTTTTCACATTTGGTTCGTTTAGACAGATTTAACCGTGCATAAGTAGATTAAAACAGAAATACATGAATTAAATCGAGGTTCTTAGTACAATGATTGTTTCCATATAAGCTATTACATCGACTAGACCTTAATGTCACTCGATCATTATCAAACTGACTGCAATCTTTTTCTGTCCGTGAGGATCCCAGCCTTTTACTAGTTAGTCCCAGTAAAGCCCCGAGACGACGTATTTTTTTAAAACGAGGCCCTCGGTAACGTGACATACTATCCATATACTACCATCCCTTCCTTCACAGCCTTAGTCCGTGTGCGCTGATCAGACATCTTTACTAACTGCATCCACAAAGGAGGTATAAGCAAAAAGAACTGCTTAGTGAGAGCGTTCATCCCGTCTCACCGAGCCAAAGTACAATCGCATTAAACAAAGATCGAGCCCAATGCTCATCAGAAACAGAAAATTATCCGCGCATGACCATACACGCTTACCCGGCCGATCATTCCGCAAACAGACAAGCCTCGGCGAGCATCACAGCCGCGAGCGCCTTACCTGATCTAGACCGCCGGTAAGGTGGATCGATCATCACGGAATAGCCAGCAGAAATATCATGAATACACGCAAACGACTAGAATCTAAGCAAGAATAAAACCAAACTAGGCTACGGTCACGCACTCACCTTAGCTTTTCTCAGACAGATTCGGTAAAGCCAGAAATATCGATCGCTCAGACCCGTTCCCACGATCGCTCAACAGAATCCGGACCACGCTCGACAGAATTGCAGTCGCTCTCGGCTAGAATCCGATATCTCTCGACTAAACAAACTTCTCTTAAAACGGTTTCTCTCAATCTTTCTGAGTTTTTTGGCTGCGCGAAGAAGAAAAAATGAGCCAGAAGCCTTTATTATATAGGCGCTCACACGATTTTCCGCAGAAAACCGCCCAGAAACTGTATCCGCGCTAATCCGCACACTATCTCGGCTAATAACCGCTCCCGCGCATCTTTTTGCCCGATAAATAACCGTTTCCGCGCTATCGCTTACTCGGCTAAATCCATAACCGTTTCTGCACTTTTGCTTTAGCGCGTTTAAAGCTGTCTGCTCTCGAATTCCGACCAAGTCCCGAAAAACTCGGCTTGTCGGAATATCCAGCTAAATTTCCCAAAAATCATGGCCAACTGATTTTAGCTCGGCGAAAACTGGACTTAGCTCGGAATCATCAGACTAAACCCAATTTCCTCCTACTAAAGTTATTTTTTCGACCTTCCTCAGTTACCCCTGGTTTTTCCCCATTTCTGCTCATAACTCATATCTCATAACTCCCTTAACCAATTTTCCTATTTTGTAAGGTTTTCCCGAACACGGATGTTACACTTCGCCCCCTACATCCTCTCCTAAATGAATCTGCGTAAACCCATGACCCAATAAAATCTACTAGACCTTTGGTGCATTACATTTCTCAACTAGCTTTAATTAGCAGGATCCTTTTAATTATTTTATCACTAAGATACAACAAAATTTAAATACGAAATAGGAAGGTAGTTTAAATTTCTTCATTTTATGTACACAACAAAAAGATAACGACTTTTATAATGGCTAATGGAAGGGAGAGAAAGAGAAGGTTCACACGAATCGAATTTTGTGTCAAATTGTCTTATGTTTGGTTGGACTTATATATGCCAATGGTCTTATATCAAATCGTCTGGTAATTCTTGTCTTCTATATGCCAATGGTCTTATATC